GATGTTACATTTTATGCAACATAGACCATTTCTCAAAGTACGCAATTCTAAATATAATAATTTTCAAGAATGATGACCTTTTAGATTTTTAACTTGTAAACTGCCTAACTGAATACTCTTAATGATCTCATTTAATATGGTCAACAAAGCCACATGTTTGAATTGCTGTTTATATTATATATTAATTCTATAGGATTTTAAATTTTTACCTATCAGCTTATATCTATCTATATTATGTGTATGTGTGTAAATATATGTATATGTGTATACACACAAGAGTGCTCTTCAGCATTTAATTTTATTAAGTACAATTTTTTTATATATGTATACACAACTGGTAAGAACATGAACTACCTTCCTAAAGAACAATTTAGCAGTTTGTGTCAACACCTTTAAGGAAAAGATAGATGTGTTGACCAATAATCTCACTATTAGAAATTAGTCTTAAAGTCATAAATTGAAATACAAAAAAGAGTTTAAAGTGGCATTATTTACAGTTAAGAAAATTTGAAAACAGACAATGTTCAACAAGAAGGAATGGTTACATAAATTATAGCACATTCATCCGATAGAGTATTAAACAGCATTAAAGTCATGTTTTCAGAGTATTTAATGACATGAGGAAAAGGTTCGTGATATATAAGTAAAATGATCAGAATATTCAACTACATGCAATATGACCTTATTTGTATAAAATAAAGTGTGTATATAAATATGTAAATATGTATGAAATATGGAAAAATGTTAAAATAGCTTAATTAATTTAGAGAGAATAAAAAATTGTTCAACAATTTAAGACAAAGTAGTTTTATAAAAATACAAACATGGTGTACCTAATGGGTTAATTTATGAGTTTGAATGATTTGTTTCTTTTTGTTTCTTTTTCTTCCTTCCCCCACCTTAAGTCTACCCTTGGATATGTTGCTCTGCTCATAAGTACTTTCCATGTTTTAATTTATGGATGGAAACGAGCTTTTGAAGAAGAATACTATAGGTTTTATACACCACCAAACTTTGTTCTTGCTCTTGTTTTGCCTTCAATTGTAATTCTGGGTAAAATCATTTTACTCCTTCCATGTATAAGCCAAAAGCTAAAAAGAATTAAGAAAGGCTGGGAAAAGAGCCAATTTCTAGAAGAAGGTATTGGAGGAGCAATTCCTCATCTCTCACCAGAGAGGGTTACAGTAATGTGATGGTAAATGGTGCTCACTGATGTTATAGTAAAGCTCTACTTATGCCATTATTTTTATTACTTCCTCTGTGTTCAGGAGTTTGTGTAAATGTATGTAGA